CTTTCCATTGGATCAGGGAGAGGACTAAGAGGTAAAACTTCAGGATAGAGAACTCAAGGAGATAAATCCACAATTAATTAGCATTTGTTGGCAGACCTGTGTGCTAATCCCAAAGGTTCTCTGCTGTTATTGTTTATGGCCATAGCTTCCTTAACTCAGGAATATAGAAGTAGCTGTAACATACTGCTTCTGCATGGGTGACTTGTTTTAATTACAAATTACATTATCAACAGCATGAATGTGCTGGATAAGTAGAAAGTAGAATTTTCTAGAAGGTCTCATAAAGAGAATGGTTAAAATGTGTAGCTTTATTAGTGTACAGTTCTCTTTTTGGAAACTTATGACTTTTTAACTGACTAATGGGGATGGTAAAAATAAAGCGCTCAAACTAAATTATCACCTTTGGGGGGAAAATTTGATGGAGGGGGATTGTCACTATGTATACTGTTTCTAGATTTGAGGAGATAGGTAATTCTTTCTCATATTTAATATTTAATTTTGATAATGGGCTCCTTCTTCAATTATTCATTCATTCCCTGCTTGTGCCAGGCTAAGCTCTTTACATATCTTTACACATATGATCCTCAATCCTCACAACAATTTTGCAAGGTAAGTATTATTCATTTGTTTGAGCAACAAATATTTTTGTGTTAAGTGGTTGTTATGACTCTGGTTATGAGCTAGGTGGTAAGAAAGAAGAGGGAAGAAGCAGCTGGAGTTCCCTGCCCTTGAGGTGTTTTTCATTGTTGGATGGGAAAGTCAGTAAACAGGTCATTAGAATGCCTTGTTATGTTCTTAATACACTCTTCAGGGGAGTATAGATTTGTAAAAAGTTTTCAAAGAGCAATGGTCATACTTTTGCCCTCTTCATCCCATCTGAGAATCTTTCCTATAGAAATACCTAGACACGGATGAAAAGATAATTGGCAAGGATGGTAATTTCAACCTTGTTCTAGTAGCAAAATGTTGAAAAAGCTCGTTGGCAGGAGAATGGTTAAATCATTGTTATATACATACCCTTGAATGTTGTACAGCATTAAGGTGAATGAAGTAAATCTGAATGTGCTGACAACTGTCTGGGATATATTGTTAGATGACAAACTCATGTTGTGGAAAAATCTGTATCATAGGAACTTAATACCTAAAATAACAATCATGAAGAAAGGGGAACAAATTTATGCAAGAGTCACACCAGATTTTTAGCTCTGGTCTCCTTTAGGCAGAAGGTGTGTGTGTGGAGGGGACAACTTCTGTGTATTACTGTGTTCTTTCAATTTGACAAAAGAAACATGAATCCTTTTCAGATATTTTAAACAGCAAATTTTTAAATGAGGTGATAGGTATGAAGGCAGAGTTATGTCCGTCCTATGGGAAAACAAAGGACCCAGACTGGAGTGGGAGAAGTCTGAGAAGGCTCTGGTGGAGGGAATGGCCTGTCCGAATTCAGGATGTACATGGCAGCCATGGAGAGGGACACAGAATGAGAGCGTCCTGCTCAGGAGCATCCTAGTAGCCGGCATTGGAGCTGGCCACCTCCATGCTTTACTTAAAAGTTTGCCCAGGTTGCCCTGGGTTCTTCTTCACTTTGCCATCACAGTGCATCAGCCACTATGCCTAAATACTTCTCACATTTTCACTTCTCCTCTATCTCTACCACTGCTGGCTTAGACTTCTCATGTCTCACCTCGACAACTGAGAAAACCCCCTAGTAGGTCTCCTGACCACTTGTCTCTATCCCATGCCCTCTCAGCCCTGTCTGTCCTTCACTGTGCTGAGTGATCTTCTAAAAATACAGTTTTGACTTGGGTATCTTTTTAAACTTTGTCAATGATCCTTCATAGATTCTGGGATCTAATGCCCCCCTTCTAAAAAGCAAGTGTACAGGAACCCCACTTACCTCTTCCACCTTCCTCCCACAGTAACTGTTATTTATATTATCTGGAAATATTTTCATTTCTTTACAAATGCTTCTTCTTATTAAGCAAGGGGTAGATGTGGGTCAAGAAAAATATCTGTAATGTGGATTTAGTATTTGGTTGTTAGCCTATTAACTTGCAAATGTTCTGACCAGTTACCCTTTTGAGAGAGTTCATGTCCGTAATTTCATAGAATGTTGAGGTAACAATTTAGAAATTAATACATTTCAGGGAAAATAGTCTTTTTTTGCTGTCCTTGGGGATATTTTCTTTTGTAAATATTCTTGAATACAGGTTTCTCATGTCTGGAGAATCTGGCGTTAATTTGTGTACTTGTCTATTCCAAATCCGGATATGCTCCACCTTTATAGGATACACACTGTTCTAAAAACACTACATTGACTTATTTGCTTTGGCTAAACTTAGACTTAATGGATGGACTTGATGTACAATCAGATAGACGCAAAACTGAGAGATGGTCCTGGAAGATTCACTTTAAGACATGCTACGTATTATTCTTCCTTCCTTCTCACCTTCATTATTTTTCTATTACTGAATGGTAATAAGTAATAGTTTTAAATAAATAATAGGAGTTGTTTCATCTTGTTGATTTTTCAGAAATGTTTGTACTTTATAGACACATTTAATGTAGGACTGAAGTGATATGCTATCTTCTTGCTCCCTCTGGTGGACAATTGTACAAAAAAGCAAACTGCAATCTTTTTTGGGTGGGGATGGGTTGTAAGTAGTTCTGATTGTTGGTGGAAAAGAAACACAAGATACATTCTTATCTTTAGATGCATCATAGTTTTACAGATAACATCCCCAGGAATAAAATACATTTCTATTAAAGTATAAAATAGCAGTAGTAAAATACATCATAGTAGTAAAATACGTAATACTAACCTTATTGCTATTTTTCTTCTTAGTAATGGCAATGCTGGGACCATTGTATAAAATAGAAACAGATTTCACCCCACAGATTTAAAACAGCAAACGTCAGGATAAGGCTGATGCTGAAATTTAACAATACCATTAATTCATGAGTCTAAATACTCCGCGAATTATTCCAGAATCTTCGAAAAGCTAGACGTTTCTCTCAGTTACGCATAATTTTGGAATTTTAGCAAATGGTTATTTTTATTTTGAATCAGTGTATTTTGATAAACTTGTTATTCACTCATGATCTTCTAAATTTACAGACTCACTGAAGATACTTTTATCTTTATGATGGGGAATTAATTGATACCTAGTTTTATCTGGGTGGTTGTGTACTTGATTTTATATCAAATGTTCAACAAGATGAAACCAGGAAGAAATTGCATAGTCTTTCAATTAAATTTTATTTTATTTATTTTATATAATGATAATTTTATATGATGAAAGTTTACATTTATTGAGTTAAGCATATGACGGGCATTATCTCATTTAATTCTTTCAGTAACTCCATGAGGCTGGTAGTTAGTTGTTGTTAGCCACATTTTATAGATGCTAGTAAAGGTGAGCTTAGCTGAAATCTGATGAGCCAAGGCTCAGCTAGATATTCTTGCTCCAGAGCTGTATGTTTATAACTTCAGCAATGTACCACCTCCTGAAGTAGGCAAGAGATAGGTATGTGTGTGGCTAATACCCATATTTGACTTCTGTGGAGTACTGGAGACCTCGCTATTAGATTTCCACGTTTGAACTGTGAAATTAAATTACCTCAGCTCAGAGAGAGATTTTTGCCTCCCCCCCCCTCCAATTCTGAGTAATCCTTATAGAACCTCTTTAAGTTTTGTTTAGTTTGGAGAGTTAGGACAGATCATACCTGTTACCATGGAAGCAGGCTTCATGAGAAAAGTATACTTTATCTCTTTGGGTTCCTCACTAAGTCTTTGAGAGAGATTATCTTAGTTGTAAAAGTGGTAAGGAAATCTTACCAAAATCTCTAGATTCTAAAGCTAAAACTATAGCAGGGCGCAGGTACCAAAGTCTTCATAAGGAATCTTTAAAATACATTCAGATAAGGGTTTAGGAAACTTTTTCTGCAAATACTCAGAATTACAATAAGGTAATTTTCTTAAAGTTGGCAATTATAAAGAATAGCTATCATGTAAATACTTTTCATGTATTATCTTTTTAATTCCTATAATGAATGATTATGAATAAGCTAACCATGATTATAGGCAGTATCCAGATGAGAAAACCAAAGCCCAGGGAACTTAAGTAGTTTGCTTGAGGTTGTATGGCTAATGAGAGGCAACGCCAGGATTTGAACTGTGGTCGGGCTCAGGAGCCCACATTCTAAACCACTTAAGCTATACAGCAGTGCTGCTCCGTGGGAACTTCTGGGGTGATGCAAATGTTTGATGTCTGGGTAGTGCAATACAGTAGCCACATACGGCTACTGAGCACTTGAAATATGGTTAGCACAACTAAGAAACTTAATCTTTTGTTTTTTAAATTTTATTTTATTTTATTTATTTATTTATTTATTTATTTATTTATTTGACAGAGACATAGCAAGAGCAGGAACACAAGCAGGGGGAGTAGGAGAGGGAGAAGCAGGCTTCCCGTGGAGCAAGGAGCCCGATGTGGGACTCGATCCCAGGACCCTGGGATCATGACCTGAGCCGAAGGCAGACGCTTAACGACTGAGCCACCCAGGCGCCCTTGTTTTTTAAATTTTAATTAAATTTAGATAACCTTGTGTGGCCAGTGGCTACTGTTTTAGATAGCACAGTTTTACAAGACCTTTCTGATTTTGTAGAAGTGAAGGTACAAGACCTTTCTGATTTTGTGGAAGTGAAGGTAGAAGACCTTTAGTATTACCCCATCTAACTCCTTGCTTTAATGATAAAGAAATGGCAAACCAGATGCTTGGTAATCTGCTTAGAGTTTCAAAGTTAAAGAAGGGACAGGATTATAACCCAGGTGTTTATAATTTTCAGAAACAGCTCTTCCCATTCTGTACTTTGTTGGCATCTGCAAATTTAGGTTTCTGCTGCCATTGTTAATATTAGATTGTAAGACTATTTTCAAAAAAAAGTTCGTATCTTTTCTGAAATACATGTCCAACTAACACTTTTCCTTTTCTCTCAGGTTATAGAAACACTATCACGACTTTCTCGCACACCTATAGCGTTGGCCACAGGAATCAGGTAAGCTTGTTTCTCTGTGGTTCATGTGTTCTGTTCCTTTATTGTAGTGGTTATTTATTGAATGGTTATTGTTTGTAAAGCACTTTGCATGCAGGGACCACGTCTCATTCATGCAAGTACAGTACCTGATGTAAAGTACCTAGTACACATTTGAAATTAATTGAGCAAGTAAGAACTTATTTGTAGAGTGAATAAGACACATTGGCTAAACATCATTCTCAATTCACTGCTGGCTGTTACCGATAGGGTACTTTGTTTTCTTAAATTCCTCCAACATTTCATTTCATTACATATGATTCATCAAAATAAACACAAATGCTTAAGTAAATAAACACTTGACAAGTTGTCATAGTACATTTATTTCCTATAGTCCATAGCAAGAACTCACAACTTTAGGAGTTTAAAAAGTAATCAGACAAGTATAAAATGATATGTGTACAAGGATGTGAGTTGAAGGATTGGTCCTAAATGCAAAACTTGGAAGTAAATTGGTTAAACGAATTATGACATCTCCATGCTGTGGAGTATTATGCAGTCAGTAAGCATGGAAATAAATGTAGACATGTATGTCATGTTGGGCTTTTTCCTGTTTAAAACCCCACATACTCAAGTTAGATCAGTCAGAAGTTTGTATTATTAGTAACATCAGAAATACAGAGAAACAATTTCAATAGCCACCCAGCTAGGCTGCATGGAAATCGAATGGATTTTATTTTTTATCTCGTTTCCACAGAGCCCCATACTTTAGTCTCCAGCCATTATGGGGTTTTGTGATGCTGTGTCTCTCCCTCTGTTGATGCCATTTTTCTGTGTCTAGCTCACATTCAGATTTTAAGGGAGAGGATATAAGCACCTCTTAGAGGACTGATTGGCAGTGGCCAGGCAGCCCATTCCTGGCATACAAAGCACAGTGACGCCAGGGAGGATACCCTGCAGACCGGTTCTTAGAAATGGGCTATGAATTTGGCAGCTTTCTACAGAAGTAATCTCTAGGCTGGATTACGTGTTTCACACCTTATAATTTGCTCTACGTGATTCATCTTTTCATATTAATATATATTTTATGTCGTTATTTGTAAACAGCTGATTTTGAAGTAGGCTGATGCTATTTTTATGTATTTATGTATTTTTGATTCTGAAAGGATATACATTAGAAGGTTTTCTTTTCCTTTTTAATATTCTAATCTATATTTTCAAATTTTTCTATAATGGACTTGCATTGGTATAAAAGCATAATCAAATGTGCCTGAATTTATTTAAGAAAAAAAAGATTTTGAAACCTCGGCATTTCTCGCACGTTTTAATTTATTTGAAAAATGTAAGTTCCTTAAATGTCTTAAGTATTCAGTTAATCCATAAACTAATATGAAAATCTGTTTTTCAATGTATTGAATATAGTTATTACCAATTACTTAGTGCTCATTTATTATTTTGATGGATCCTCTTGTTTTTATGAAACATGACATGCTGCCTGCATATAAAGTAAGTAAAACTTCTGACATAATAGTATAATTATGATTGTGTTAGATATGCATTTAGGGCATTATGTTGGGGTTATGAAAAAAGTGCCTAGTACATTAGGCAAAAAAAGCCAATGGCTAGACATAGGGGATACATTAAAGTGCTTTTCTTTTAATGGGAAACAAAGAAAACATCCTACTCTCCTTAAGGTTTAGGATTCACTCATTTGTCCAATAAGTGAAAATAAAAAATACAACTTAAATATCTTGAAGTCAGAGCAGAACAGTCTGCCAGAATCAATAATCATATAAAAAGGGCACGGATATTTTGGTCTTCTAATAATTTTTATATTTAGTGGGCTGAGTCATGCAGGGATGATTGTTACCAAACCATTTGTCAGTCAGATCAGATTCCATGAGTGGAGAGAGACGGTGCTCAAGGCAGGGGCACCGGGGCAGCTGCTGGTTTTCTGAGCTGGGAAGCTGCAGAGCCTGCAGGTAAGTGGCACGTGGCAGAGCAGATGAGCACGTGAGCATGTCCATAGCTGCTCAGGTGATGGCGGCAACCACTGGTATTGCTACAGCTCATTTGGGGTGGCAGGTGCCACGGTGTCCCTGGGGGACCCCATGCACCGCTACAGGATGGGCACTTTGGGAGGAGCCCAGGCCGTTGTGTTAAACATGATCACTGATCTGACTACTGTAGCTGACCTTGTGCATTTAGTGAGAACTAAATGCCTGGCCTAATGGTTGCTTATTCATCCTTGTTTTGTGTTTTTTTTCCCCTCTCTCTCTTCCAGGCCCTTTCCAACAGAAGAGAGCGTTAGTGATGAAGACATCTACAAAGGCCTTCCTGACTTAATAGAGTATGTTGGGCATCTTCAAAATTAAACCACTGCCAATGTTTGCATCCTTTGTGGATTTTAACCATGGATGTTAAAATAGTTTTCTGAAGCGGAAAAGTGGCTTAATGATTAAGACGTGTAAGAATTAACTTCAAACTAGGGATGGAAATCTTCACCAGAAAATGGGCCTCATCTGGCTTTTAGTTCCTGTTGTGTGCCCCATGCCATGCCAGTCCCTCTGACGAGTGAATAAACATACTGCAATGAACTAAAATTTGGAAGTTTCTCAAAGGCATACTAGAGGTGGTGGGTGAAACTGGAATTAGACAGTTAAGGAACAATGACAAAGAAACAAGATCTGCCCTGGAGATGTAGGGCAGATAGTGCATGCTCTGTAAGTTCAAGGAAAGGCAAGATGAGCGTGGGCTGGAGTTCTTCAGGGAGTTTCATTACATGGTGTTTGTTTTGCACAGAGATTCCTTCTGGGCTTTATTGTTTAATAGTCAGGAGAGGCAAAAGGTCCTTGCACCTGATTATCTTCTGCTGATTGAATGACTTGTGCAGATTACAAATAAATATAAAAAAGGATCCCCGCCCTTCAAGGAACTGATGATAAAGATCAGGCATGTTTGCAAAGCATTATAATAAGACATAGATTATGCTCTAAAAGGGATGCAGGTTCTGTGGAGATTCTCCCATTCATCCATCCTAATCCAGCAGCACCCCAAGCTTGTTCTTGCTGTAGGACCTTTGCACTTGCTCCTTCCGCCCTTAGGGCTGACCCCTCACCGTTCCAGCCCTTGCGTAGATGTCCCTCCACAGAGAGGCCTTTCTGACTACCCTACCCAAATTGCTGCCAGCCCCTCACCTTGCTCTGTGGCTTTATGGCACTCACTACTGCCCAAGAAAATCTTTGTCTCCATCTCCTCTTTAGAAGGTCCACTTTGTGAGGCCAGGGACTTTACCTTGTTCTTGGCTATCTTCCTAGAATTTACACAGCATCTAGTATATAGTAGGTCCTCAGTAAATATTTGTTTTCTGAATGACTAAGCAAAATTGCATCAAGCATCTCCTGTTTGCCAGCATTCTGCTTCAGGCCTGAGCTATCTCGTCAGTTCATACGAGCTTATTGAGTGCCGGTTTCTGTGCTAACCATGTTACGTGCATTATCTTGTGTCATAACTGCAACATGCTGAGGTTGTTCCTATTATCCCAATTTATGAAGGAGAAAGCTGAATTGTGGAAAGCTAAGAAACTTGCTGGAAGTCACCGAACTAGTAAATTTTAGTCTTTGGATTTGAACCCAGACAGTTCTCACTCCAGAGCTGGGGCTCTTCCTCACTGCATGGACCCCTGGAAGCACCCTGAGATGCCCTCCTCTCCCTCCAAGAACTTCCAGTAGAAGAACAGAGGAAAATGCTGACAGGATGGCCAGCAGCTTGTCCCAGAATAGGTGGCACTTGGATGGGCCTTGAAATTTTATGTTTTAAATGTGGATGAAGGATAGTTTCTTAGCTCTTCTTAAAACCTCCAGCAGCTCACTGATCTTGAGCAAGATTGATGCTGATTGTCTCACTGAATTGGCTACAGTCTCGATAAAGTGACTGTAAGGTTCTGGTAATATAACCAAATCCTTTGAAATATTAGGAAGAATATATTATTTCTTGGAGCACCTGGGTGGTTCAGTTGGTTAAGTGTCCGACTCTTGATTTCGGCTCAGGTCATGATCTCAGGGTTGTGAGATCGAGCCCCGAGTTGGGCTCCATGCTCAGCACGGAGTCTGCTTGAGATTCTCTCCCCCTTACCCTCCTCCCCTCCTCCCACTCCCAACCCCCCTTTCTCTCTCTCAAATAAAATAAAATCTTTAAAAAAGAATATTTATTACTTCTAGAGCTATTATGATGTTCTTTTTTAAGCCCCACCAATTGTCACTTATACTTACTAATTTTCATAGCCTTCCCTCATCTTGTTGTGTTGATGTCAGGATAAATCCTGAGAGGATGCACCCCTAGCTAAGTTTGGAGAAACCTGGGCTTCTGAGACACCAGCTCATGCTCTGGGAGATGCAACCTGCTGCAACTCTCCATCTGGTGGTGGAAGGTCCAAATGTGGTATTATTCCTACAAGTGCTTGCTTTTGATTTTCAGTCTTAGCTTTGTTATGATCTCTACGGGCTCATATCCTTAAGTCTGACTTTTAGGGGTGAAATCACCCCAAGGGAAGCACTTAGAACCAACACTGGCCGCCTCCCTACTGCAGAGGGAATCATTCTGTTCTCACAATGGAGAGAAACAGACACAGAATGGAATGGAGAGGGTGTGAGATGGCTAGGCTGCACAGTGTCTGCTTTTTCTACTTTTATGATCAGGGTGTTAGTCATGGCCATATATAGATGACCTAGACACAGAAAAAGTAATGTAGATTATTGTTGATTTGTTGGCCATCTGAAGAATCACAGTCATCCTTCGCCGCTCCCACCCCCCACTCATTTTATGCAGGTCAGGAAGTCTTGACCAAACTATTAGCAAGAAAAGTTGCCTTAGTATGGGATTGAATAACAAAACCCAAAGCATTTTAGCCCAATCTTGAGTGTGTGTATGTGTGTGTGAGTGTGCACATGCATACACACGTGTGTGTGTCACTCCTACAATTCTTTTTAAAAACTTTTTTCCAGTTTTATTGAGAATAACTGACATACATCCTTGTGTAAGTTTAAGGAGTATGGCATGATGGTTTTATTTACATATATTGTGAAATGATTACCACAATAGGAAAAGTTTAAGGAATATGGCATGATGGTTTTATTTCATATATTGTGAAATGATTACCACAACATCCATCTGATACAGATACAATTAAAAGAAAAGAGAGAAGAAAAGGTTAAAAAAAAAAACTCCTTGTGATGAGAACCCTTAAGAATTACTGTTTTAACAACTTTCCTGTGTACCGTGCAACAGTGTTAGCTGTGGTCATCATGTCATACATTTGATCCCTAGTCCTTATTTACCTGACTGATGGAAGTTTGTACCTTTTAACTACCTTCTTCCAATTATCCCTCCCCCTCTCCTCCATCTCTGATCTCCCCACGTCTGATCTATTTTACAATGAGGTGTGTGTTTTTTTTTTTTTTTTTAGATCCCACATATAAATGAGATCACACAGTGTTTGTCTTTCTTGGTCTTATTTTACTCAGCATAATGCCCTCATGGTGCATCCATGTTATTGCAATTGGTAGAATTTCATTTTTTTTTATGCTGAATCATATTCCATTGTGTATATATATACTGCAACTTCTTTATGCATTCATCCATCAGTGGACTTGTAGGTTCTGTCCATGTCTTGGTTATTGTAAATAATGCTGCTCTGAACATGAGGGTGCAGATTTCATTTTGAGTTAGTGTTTTTGTTTCCTTTGGATATATTCCCAGAAGTGGAATTCCTGGATCATATTATATTTCTATTTTTAATTTTTTGAGGAACTTCCGTACTGTTTTCTGTAGTGACTGCACCCATATATAGTCCTACCAACAGTGCATGAGGGGTCCCTTTTCTCCATATCCTCACCAGGATTTATCTCTTGTCTTTTGATGATGGCCATTCAAACAGGCATGGGATGGTATCTCATGTGGTTTAAGTTTCATTTTCTTAATGACTAGTTATGTTGAGCATCTTTTCATGTACCTTTTGGCCCTTCATATATCTTTGGAGAAATGTCTATTCAGGTCCTTTGCCCATTTTTAAATTGGGCTATTTTGTTGTGGTTATATGAGTTGTATTAGTCCTTTATATATTTTGGATACTAACGTCTTCTCAGATAGATGGTTTGTAAACATTTTTTTTCCCATTCCATATGTTGTTTTTTCACCTTGTTGATGGTTTCTTTTGCTGTGCAGAAACTTTCTAGTTTGATGCAGTCTGACTTGTTTATTTTTTATCTTGTTGCTTGTGCTTTAAGTGTCATATCTCCTACAATGGTAAAAGAAAAATCTGTATGTATTCATACAGCATGTGCCTCTACCCTCATGGGAAATAGTCAAAAGCAATAGTTCAGCAAGATGAGGTGTTCTTTCGGGGGTGGGAGTGCTGGTCAAAGACGGTGAAGCTGGGATTAGGGGTAGCAGGGAAATGGATTTCACAGCCTAGCTTCTTGTTGAACAGGATCTCTTCTGATGCAGAGCCTGTTCCTTTACTATTCCTTATCTCCACTCCCTCATGGACTCATCAAGCCTTCCTATCCTTTGATGTGTTATAGAAAATGTTCAGACTGGTTTAACTTCCCCCTGTTCTCTGGTTGGATTGCCTGCCTAAACCCCTCAGTATGGTAACTCTGGAATTACCTAATGACTTAGCATCTGCCCAGTTTTACTGAGTAGGAAGCTGAGTAGCCTCCTTCACTCCTTTCCCCCCTCTCCCTAATTCTGACTGGTTACCAAGTCTGGTTGACTGCACCTGACACAGTATCTGAAGTCTCTTTCTTTCCTCATCTGCCTTTACTCTAGTTATGGCTCTCAAAATCTCTTACCCACAGGGTTTCATTTCTGGGCTTACTGTCTTCTTGTTGCCTCCACTCTGCCCTGATAGAAAACCCCCTCTTGCGTTCTAAATGCCCACGTAAGGTTGTGCTTACAGGGTGTACTGCCTTTCACAGGTTGGTTTTAGCTTTTCCCTCTGGGGCTTGCATTCACTTACCTGAATGGGACAACACTCTTGACGTTGCTGGGCTCTCCAGACCTTCTGCCTTTGCAAGTGTTGGTATCCTTTGTCTGGAACGTTCCTTCCCTTTTTTCAGTGAGTATGTGTCACCTCCGACAGCAGAAACTGTGTCTGCCTCGTCTGCAGCCTTATCTCTTGGAAGATAGTAGTACTCATTTAGCAAATAGCTATTGAATAAATTGATAAATATATTCAAGATCCAGTTCAGTTGTAGTATCTGTTGTGAAGTCTTCCCTGAGTTCTTCAGTCAGAGTTACTCTTTCCCTCGCTCATGCATTCTGCGTTCATCTGCTCTGTTGCCCTTCTAGAATTACATGTTGGCATGCTATGCTCTACACTGGACTATGGGAGAGTCCTCGGATCTTCTTGATCTATGCATTCTTAGCACTAAAGAGTATGGACCTCAGTAGGTTCTTAGTATATGTCTGCTGGGTGAATGAATGGATGGACAGCTAACCCAAAGACAAATTTTTCTCAGAGCATAGTTCTCTGAAACATTTGTTACTACCAGATCACTCTCCCTTAAGGCACCTTTATTTCTTCTGGGTGTTTGATACAGTTCATTCCTGTCAAAGGCTTCCAAATAATCCTTCATGACAAACATAGACAACCTAGTGATTGAACCTACTTTGAAAAATGATCCAAGTTGTAGAGTGACATTTACAGTTACAGTGTTCTTATTTTTGTGCATATCAGTTTATAATGTTCCATCTGCACAGGCCTAAGAAAGATGATAAGGGCTGGCAGTATTGAAGGAGTTGAATTTAGAAATGTCTAAATTTATTAATCTTAATTGGGATTATTAGTGATCGAGGCTATTTATAGAAGTCTTGAACTGAAAGGAAAAGCTTAAGGAGTAGTAACAGAACATGTGATAGGTGGAACTAGCTATTTCTACTTTGACTAAATGGGTTTATGATATCATATAAAGGGTTTAGGAAAGGTAGGTCAGTCAGTCACTGTGTATGTACTCATTGGGAGCTTTAAAAATGGGGATGGTTTTCAACTATCAGGAGGCCAGCAGATTTGAAATGGTATTTAAAAATGCCTTGTGGGCTTGGGACCATTTCTTTAAACAAAATACAGACAAAACAGGTAATAGCAGAATCTGGCTGAATGGGGGACTTGGGGAGACCCTCTGAGTGGGCTGGAAGAAGCATGGTTGGAAAACCATTGCGTTAGATATCGGCAGTAATAACCCTGCAGAAACTGTTGCTTTTAAAAGACCATTTATAAACTATGAGATCCTCCCCAACTTCCCTGTCTTTCCCATATCAGACCCATTAATATAGATGATCAGTCTCAGGCCTCGAAATAGAAATGGGGGCAGTAGGATAGAGTGATTAGAACACTTAGAATGTAAGACAGACTCAGTTTTAAATCTGGACCTGCCATGGACTAGCTGTGTTTTCGTGGGCAAGTCAAATAAATAACCTTTAGTTCTCTAGCATCCTTATCTCTGTAATGGACTAAATAATAATGCCTACCTGATAACACAGTGAACACTGGGCCTGGGCCAGCTATGTGAGATCATGTATGCAGAGTGATCGTTTATGTGCATGTATGTAATAAATACCCAGTGAATGTTAGCTGTCACTGCCATCCTTGGTGGATTCTGTTGTTGGACATTGTCCTCATTAAGAGGGAGAAAGTTGTAATATAAAGCCTTGGACTCTTTCCGTGAATCCTGTTATATTTTTTCCCTGGATTTTCCACGAGGCTGTATGTAGCTATTGCATTTACTGCATAACAGACAATGACCTGAGTATCCTACCCTTTGTTTCAGTGAATCACACGTAGAAGATGAAGAAGGTCTTTATGACTGTGTTTATGGGGAAGATGAAGGAGGAGAAGTCTACGAGGACTTAATGAAAGCAGAGGAAGCACATCAACCCGTAGGCTCCCACTTGCCTTATGTCTTGAGTTACTTTGAGTATTTTATTAGGACAGTGATTCCTTGTGAGATGGATTCATATAATTATTTACGTAACTTCTGCTGGAATAGTTTTTTGTTTACTCTTTACCTTTGTTAGCTTTTAACTATATAATTGACTTCCTGCATTTGGAAACACATGGACATGACATTCTGCAGTTCAAAACAACCACAGGCAATCTCTGGTCTTGTCCTTGAATTTCCCTTGTAAGGAAAGCAAGTCTGAGAGAGAAATGATGTGCCACGCAGCTAAATAGTGGCAGAGTGGCAATAGAACAGAATTCCAGCGAATCACGAAATTACATTATCATGAAAGGAGATCTTCTCTTACCAAGCAGTTAAATCTTCTTTAAATTTGATGTAGCATTAAGTATATGTTAAAGAATATTTCTTCGTATTTGTTAGGGGTAGAAGAAGTAGTATTTTTTTCTTCTGTTTTACTAAAGAGTCTCCTAGAATTTTTACTGTTTTATAAACTTAGTTTCACGTATTGTCATAGTCAGTATGAGCCCACAATGGTTTATCTGCCATTAAAATATCTAAAACATTCAGAAAAAACTACTTTGAGTTTTTTTCTCACCTATAATTAAAAAAAAAATGGTCAGTTGCATAGGCTTTCATTAATGTAGTCTTTTTTTTTTATACAAAAGCTGGATGGTGGTTTAGAGTTTTTTTTTTTTTTTTTTAGTGCTTTGATTAATTTCCTCTGCTCTCTTTATAGTCTTGCCTTTAATAAAAGGCTGAGGTTTGTCCAGTGCCCCATATAGGGAGCAGTAGCTTCCATGGGAAGGAAACAAGTTACCTGGTCTGTGTTTGGTAAATGTGATGAATGTGCTTTAACCCACTGTGAGCTGACAGGCTGCCTGTGGCAGGATTTTGAGTATTTTTAGGTGAAAGAGTATCATCTGTATCTCCTAGAGTCATCATCTGCTTTGGGTACCAGCAGAGTCTTCAGTGTGTCTCCCAAGGGCAGTTCTTCATTCAGCTAACAGTGCCGGGTTGTTTATACCGGACAGGGTTGACAGCAATGATCATTTAAATGTGTAGGGTCCTTCTTGTATACTCCTCAGGGTGCTGTGTGCTTTACCAGGTTATCTCATTTACAGTTCCTTGGAGTTGGAACTGTAATTCTCTCTGTGTTGTAGACGAGAAAACTGAGACACAGAGAAAATAGGTAACTTGTTCATAATACCAAGCTAATAACTTGGTTATTGATTGCCAAACACCAAGATACTGTTAAAAAAGTATTTTAAGATTTTTATCTATCAAATATCCTGTTATTTTGCAAGTATTTCTACAGCACTTGTAAAGTGTGCTGTACATTAAGAAAACTATATTACACCATGTGTGATGTTTCCAGATTCAATAATGAAGTAGATGAAATAATGAAAGCGATGTTTCCAGTATAAAGAGTGTCTATACTCAGAAATTTATTTTTAATTATTTAAAACTGTTTCATTTACATGGTTCAAAATTTTAAGAACAGATACCTCATAAATGCAGTAAATATATCTTTCAGTTATATGTTTTATTAGAATGGAAAGCTTAAGAAAGTCAGTGATTTTGACTACCAGAGAGATTAACACATGTTTGATTAAATAATTTTTTGATAATTCTAACTGCAGAAATGTCCAGAAAATGACATACGAAGTTGCTGCCTAGCAGAAATTAAGCAGACAGAAGAAAAATACACAGAAACACTGGAGTCAATAGAAAAAGTAAGTTATCAGGTATTTGATGCCTAAGTACTGCACTTTATAGTTAATATAAAAGACACTATGTCTACTGCGTATTTTCTGCGTTTCAGTAGGACTTTGGATTTAAAGATCTCAAAGCAGATTTATTCATTCCACAACTAGCTACTGATTTCTTAATATCGGAATGGCACGGCGTTAGACGCCAAGGCTATAGTAGGAAACACAACAAAACTCTGGTTCTCATGATACTCTCTCCTATGGGAGAGTTTATAATTTAAGCAAATAAGTGTGCCAGGTGTTGATAAACTCTCTGAAGAAAAATCAGTCAGGGAAAGAGGATAGAGAGTGATGGAGGTGGGCTGGTTTTATTTTATGTAAAATGATAATGGAAGGTCTGGGGTAAGATCACACTGAAGACAGACAGCTGAGGGAATTGAGGGAGCAAACTGTGCCAACATCCCAGAGATGACAGTTCCTGGGAGAAAGGCCCTCAGATGAGACCGTGTTCCGCATGTTCCAAGGAACAGCAGTAGCCCAGGTGGCTGAAGCTGCATGAGTGAAGAGAAGCAGTGAGCGTGGAGAGCTGGTGAGCCACCGCATCCTGTAGGGGGCATAGAGAACACTAGCTCAAAGGTGGACTGGGTGAGTAGAAGAAGGGACATGATCTAATGTAAGTTTTTCGCAGCTCGTTCTGACTTTTTGGGAGAAAAGTTAGAAGGCTATTGCAGTAATTGGATTGACAGAACATGATAGTATTTGTAGAGCTGGTGAGGAATGGTCAGATTCTGAATAAATTTTGCAAGTAGAGCCGAGTGGATTAGATGATGAATTAGATGAAGGATGTCTGAGAAAGAGAGCAATCAGGAATGCTAGGTTTATAGCATGAGTAACTGCCTGAGTGGTGAAGATTGTTACTGAGATGGGGAGGACAGGTTTGGAAATCATGAGTCTGTTGGGACATACTAAATTTGCAATACTTCTCAGTTTCCAAGGGGCTGTGCTGAGGAGGAAGTCAGATATATGAGGCTGGCATTAAGGGGAAAAGTTGAACTGGCCGTTATCATGACGCAAAGGAATGTATAAGGCCATGGTACTGAATGAATTCACCTAGGGAATGGATGTTAATAGAGGAGAGGTTTGAGGCCACCTCTGGCGACTTCCACATTTAGAGGTCAGGAAATTGAGAACCAGGAGAGAGTTTTGGACATTTAGGAAAAGAGCTGAAGGTGTGGAAGAGTTGTTTGGGAGGAGGGTGGGTGTAAATTGATTAGGGGAATGTAGTAGGATTATGCAGTATCACAGGCTCAACTGAAAATTAGACTATCAGTCTAGTTCATGTTTAACTCCTTAGGTACAGGCGATCCATAGCAAGCTAAATTTACCCAGGTTTTTTCTTCTTCCAGAAAAGCACAGTGGAAGAGGAGAGTAGAGGGTAAGGGTATATGCAGGGAAGTGGTTCTGATGATGGTTTATGGAGTGCAAACTGGGTAGGAAGGGAAGTGAGGACATGAGAGACACAGGATGTTCAGTGGATTGGCAGACCCAATGCGGTTGAAGAATTTCTTGAAGGAATGAGCTGTCAAGGTAGGGGGTAGTGGTCAGAGAGCTGATTGCTTGAAATTAATGCTATAGAGCCTTGCAGTTTTTGCTAATGAGAAGGTCTTGGGATGTGACCACCAGAATAGGGAGCCGAGCTGGGATGGAACACAAGATTACTGGAAGTCAAGGAGCTGAAAGGCCAGGCTATTGGGAGGATCATCTGCACAGATACTGAGATTGCCAGAAGTGGACAGTGGACTGGTAATGGAAAGCAATATGGCAGGCCAAGAACTAAAATTCTCAAAGAATGAAGGGGATGATCCATAAATTGCACAAATACATAACTGATCTCGGGGACCTAGAATCTCTACAAGGCATTTGAGGGATATTTTGTATCGGTGCTGTATCTCCAAAATACTGCCTCCCCCCCCCAATATGGCCAATAAGGTTCTTTTTTTCTTACTTTCAGAAGCATTTATTGCTGAAACCTTTTGGTCTATACTTTAAATGTGTTAACTTGTATTATGTCTTTATATCTCTATTCAAGTATAAAATCTTTAAGATAGAGCAAATAGTATCTGCTTTTTTCTTGGTATTCATTATACGGATAAACAATTTACTTTCAATAAATATTATTTGTTGATGAAAAACTATTATTAGGATAAGTTGTGCTTAATTATTCTGTTCTATCCTTGTAGTATTTCATGGCACCACTAAAAAGATTTCTGACAGCAGCAGAATTTGATTCAGTATTCATCAACATTCCTGTAAGTAAAAATATGCTAGCTAAAATTGTGGTATACTTCTATAAAATTCCTATCTTCTTATTGGGTTCCAGATTCCTATTTAATATTTTCCTCTATTCTTGAAGAATTTTAACTCTATTTTTTGCCTCCTGAGTTCTTATATCCTTATTTTCTAGAAATAAAGGATGTGTCATATCTTCAGCCCAAATCAGTTGAGATTCAAGCTGAACATGCACGGATAAGATTCATGTATTATCCTTAACTGCTTGTCAGGAAGAGGTAGTCTAAGTTAAGGAATCCCTGGAGCCACTGTCTGTCTTGTGGGAGCCCCCTTATGGTCCACTCCCTGCTCTCTTGCTACTCCAGCCTCTCAACCCTGTCCTATAGACATTGATTTCTCCACTTCCTTGGGCTCTGCTCTGTGGTGCTTTCTACTTCTGCTTCCACTTGTACTAACCTTAACTTCCTTTTCTGATGCACTACTTCCTTATGATTTAAGAGTCCGTTTTAGTGGTTAGATGTGAGGAGCTTTTTTTTTTTCACATTTATGTAAGCATTTTGAATTTCAGAGCCCCTTCCAATTACCTTATAATCTTAAAGGATAGTTACCTAGAAGCATTGAAACAAACCAAATGCTGTGCCCAGTGAGGTCATACTAGGCAAGATTCAAGTTCTTAAACGTCTAAAACTGGTTTAGGTTTTAATAGATGGCTCATGGATACACTAAAAAGCACAAGTTTGTTTGTTTTACCTGAAAGTTCCCTACTATTTTGGTTCTGTCATGTTCAGTGTCTATGTGCATCAGTTTGCAGATTATTGTCCTTGTCCCTGATTTTGGCCAGATGAAGATATTCTCATTGATTCATAGCATAGCAGGAAGAAAAAAATCACAATATCAGGTGAACATTTAGCATAAAGCGAATCATATATTCTAGGAAGATGAGGCTCTTGAACCACCTCACTGCTGTCGCTGTAACATAGGGTGCATTTGACAGTCCTTAATCTTACGGCTTTAACATGCTCTTCAACAAAATGGCAGGGCCAACATATTCCTGTGTCGTTTCACCCTGCTAAGGAAAGGGCTTGCTGTGAAGTCAGTGTGGGCACCAAGGTACAAGGAAAGGATAATGGGAGAATTGGCACCTTGGTTAGAATTTCCTCATGTCCTGGCTGTGACGTGTTATTTACTGCCTGACTGAAAATTACTTGCTTATCAGGAAAAGGTGGAATTCTGACTTCTGAGTTGCTCCAGCAAACTGCCTAGTACAATTTATCTGCTCTTTATTTATGCCATTAGTTGTCGGGTTTCAAGTAATTTAGTGTGATTATTGTTAGCTTAGCACCAGGACACCACTAATTGACCAAAGTGCAAATCTACATTTTTATGTCCCAAGGACATGAATCGTTACTTTATTCCATCAATAAAACATTAAGCACTTGGATAGTTTTATTTAAAAAATTAGAGTGATTATAATGAAAATGAGCTATACATATTTTTATATAAGGAATAAATTACCCTTTAATAACTAGTGAGATAATTACCCCCCCCCCCAGGACACTGATGATTCAGGTCTGATCTGAAAGTGCTGTTTTCTGTGCACTTGGCCTGTCTCCCTCCCCTCC